CGGAAAGCGAAAACTTGTTGAAACTTCTGCAAAGTCGTTCGAAAGGGGCCGCGAGACCGGCGGCTGCAGCTCCCCTGGATAGCGGTAAGCGCGCGCGAGCTGCCGGCTGCGGGCGATCACGAGCGATCCGCCCCAGAACTTCGACGACCAAAGCGTCGACCCGGTCCCCTCTTCTACGCGGGACTTCGAGTACACGAAGGCGCGGAAGGCGGCGCCGTTTTACCCGGAGTCGGAGGCCCCGGTGGTGGAGGTGGAGCCGCAGCAGGAGAGGTTCAGGGGCCTGCACGCCGCAGAGGTGGGCCGCCGCGCACGCATGCAGGGCTGGACCACTGGTTAACCACTGGGCAGAACGAGCTGTTCCGCGTGGAGCCCGCGGGGGAGGCAGCAGCCGGCGAGGGAGAGCGCGTGGTCAGCGGCTTGGCCGTGGACAAGGCCGGGAAGCAGCAGCAGGCGCGGGGGCCCCCCCCCTCGCACAGGCCCGTGGCGGGCGTGGGGCCCCTCTGCGAAGCCTACAGCAACCCGGCCATGTCTTTGGAAGGTAAGGGCCCCCTGGCCAGCCGCAGCTGCTGCAGCTGCTGCAGCAGCAGCCCCGTGGAAGCAGACTGGGAAAGCCCGGGACAGTGGCGGAACTTGGCGGAGCTGGGGCTGCAGCGGCTGGCCCCGAAGAGCCTGACGCCCCGTAGGCCGCTCGCGCTGCACCCCGCAGAAGCTGCTGCAACGTGCTGCTGCAGTGCAGCAGCAGCTGACTTTGCTGCTGCAGCGCCACCAGTGCAGCGCCGCGCAGCTCCGGGCCTTCGTGCGACTCGCCAGCGGCTCCGCCGCCGGCCTCGTCTTCAGGGCCAAGGGCCAGCAGGACTTCCTCGCTGCAACGCTGGACTCGGAAAAAAAGGTAAAGGGCTTTTGCCGGGGCCTCCGAGGGGACTTAAGCAACTCTGCAGGTGGCCAGCCTGGCGGCCACGCGGGGCGGCCAGCAGTGGACCCTTGCGGAGGCCCCGGTCTTCTACGTGAACCCTGCCGTTCGCCACGAACTCGCCGTGGTAGGCCCCGCTGCCCAGTGGTCCACTGGTCACTGGTCCACTGGTCCGCTGAGCGCCTGCAGCATGACCCCGGGGAGGCCGGGCCCGTGGAAGTGCTCGTGGACGGCCAGCTCGTCCTTTCCCTTCCAGTCCCTTCCCCAGGTAACAGTCTGCAGAGTCTTGGCTGCAGAAAGGCCAGTTAGGGGCCCCCAGACAGCGGCCGCTTCGGCCTCACGGTGGCCCGAGGCTCCGCAGTGTTTGACGGCTTCGCAGTTGAACGCTAGGCCCCACTTCTGCGGGTTCCGCGGCGCAAGGGGAGCCAAAAAGCTCTTTTTCTGCACCAAAACTCCATTTGTTTCTTTTATTGCAACTTTAATTTCCAGAAGACGCCGCCTTCGCCGAGTTTCCACGCAGCGCGGGAGCCAGTGGCACGTGCAGATGTTCACGCCGCTGGCGTCGCCGATCTTGAACGGCCGCGCTCCGCGTCCTTTAGCAAATGTTGCAAACTTGAATTTGTTTTCAATAAATGCTTTTTTGCGCAACTCAATGCTGCTTCCTAGCGTCGAGCCCGCGCTGCTTGCCCACAGAGCAGCGGTCCGAGTGACTCGAACTTTTCACTCACCCAGGCCTGTCCAGAAAAGCTGCATTCCCCTCTTCGCGGGCAATTAGGAGGCAAAACCCTAGCTAGGGGCTCTTTATTCTGCAAAAGGGTTCTCTGCAGCAGCGGGAAACGCCTTTTCCTGCGGGTTTCCTGCGGCACTCAGAACCTGTAGGGCTTCGCCCGGCGAGGCTGTCTTTGGCGTGGACAACTTCGCGGGTCAAGGCCAGCAGTTCACAGTTCTGCAAAGCCTTAAGGAGAGTCAGCAGCTTCGAGCTCTTGCTGCAGGCGCGGCTGCAGCTCGCAGCTGTCTCGAGAACTGCAGCAGCAAAAGCGCCGCTGCGCTTTGCCCGCTCGTTTGCCGCTGCAGCGGCAAGCGACGCCTACAGCTGTCTTCCGGGGCTGCGGGGCTTTGCTGCTTGCTGCTCTTTCCTTGCAGAGCCAGGAGTCCCCCCGAGCTGCACATGACTGTTTTTGCTGCCTCCCAGAATGCCGGGCTCCTCCAAAAGCATGTCTTTCAGCGACTTCGCCCCAGTGAGCTCGCTGGACTCTGTGCAGGAGAGCGAAGGCTCGAGCTCGAAGAGCAAGGGCCGCGAAGTTGCACAGGCCATGCTGGCGGAAGTGGAAGAGCACCTCAAGGAATTCGACAGAGACCTGCAGGCCCTCCACAGCAAAGCTCATGCTTACCAAGGAAGCTGGCCGGACATTCCCCTGGGGAGTGCCGAAATCAGTTCCCCGGTTTCTCACGAAACCTGCATGGGTGGGCGTTCAGACCAGCCCACAAGCGCCACACTTACAAAGAAGAAAAAACCAAAGTGCAAACTCTCATAAATGCAGCTAGAAATAGCTTTCAAGAGCTTCTCAGTGTGGCGGTGATGCGCTGCAGGAGCAACACGCAGCAGACTTTCTTGGGAGCTTCGAGACTCCCTCACCCGGCGAATTCCGAGCTCGGTGTCTCAGTCCTGTCCAGAAGAGACGCCAGAGGCAACAATTTCCTTTCTGACACTTATTCGGAACATATACAGAATTGTCTCCACTGAAATCGCTCCAAAGATGCAAGTACTCATCAAAGAGGTAATGTGCTCACTGAGTTCTATGTGGCTGGCTGGGAAAGTCGAGTTCTGAAGGACTCTTGAATATTTCCGGAAATGCAAATGCATTTCCGAATATATTGAAGACTCCTTCGTGATACCACACTGGTATCACGCAGCGAAGGCTTGCGTGTGTCTCGTGCTGTTTGTCTGGGCAGGTCACACAGCTCCGCAAAAACAATGAACTTTTGTCTGAAAGGGTGGAGCAGCAACGGCAACGCCACAATGAACAGGTTCGTTGCTTCTGAGCTAGGAATATAGGGTCTTCTCGCCACTGAGAGTTACATTCTAAGCATTTGTTGGGGGCAGTTCATGAAACGGACACCGTGGGTAGGGGCATAGTGCTGCAAGGGCCCCCGAATTCCGTTGCTGCGCTGCAGATGGAGGAATTTGAAGACTTGCAGCTCGAGCTCCGAGCCAAAGACGCTCAACTGCGCGAACAAAGGCGCGTTTCGAAGAGCTTGGACATATATCAAGGAGAAAATGAGGTGCGTGCTGCGCTAGGAAACTGCACGCTGGCTGGCAGGGCTTGGAGAGTGGCCGCGGCAGGAACTTCACGGATTTAGAGCGTTTGTGTAGCACTGGCTCCACTCAAAGATAGAAATAGAATAATGGTAGATGCCAGATGTTTCGGTGGGCGTGTTACACGGAATAGAGATCTTGAGGAGTCTCCGGTTTGCTGAACTTGTTGAAAAGCTCTTGCTGTGGCTTTTGTGCCGCTGATGAACTGCAGATGCTGAAGGTAAAGCTGAATAACTTGCTAGTTCGCGTGGGGAAAATGGAAGGGAGCAGCGTAACTCAGTCAGCAGTTCGTGAAACGCAAGATAAGCCGGACATGCCGTTCAAGAGAGCCTCGTGAGTTTTTTTCAGGCAGTGGAACACTTATTTGCATTTAATTGCTCTGGCACTGTTGAACTTGCTTCTACTGGGTTTACTACTGTGAAGTGCCATGTAATACTTAAGAGTGTGTATATCTCCGGCTGCGCAGAAGCAACGAGTGGCTTCGGCAGGAAAATGAAGACTTGCAGAGAGAGGTAAGGCGTCTCTGTTTTCTGCTTTTGCTGCGGAACTGTGATGGCCATTTTCGTTTCTCAGCAGCAGTGTCGATGCAGCAAAATCTGCACGAAACATTACAGTAACTCAAATCAAAGAGAGGGAGGGCTGTTCACTCTAGCAGCTCCCTCGGCACGCAACTCATATCGCCTGAGTAGGTGGTTTCGTTTTGTTTTTAGGTAAACCGCTTGCGCAGTGATGCCTCTGAGAAGGAAGCAATGATAAGTCAATTGAAGAAAGCCATCAAGAACTTCACTGCAAACGACAGCCCCCGATCGCCGGTGCAGCGGAAACTCTCAGTAGCGCCGCGCCGCCCGGAGTCCATTCATAGTCCAGTGGCAGCTTCCAGCCGGTCCTCTCCCGAAGCCATGCCACTGGATGCCCAAATAGGGGCAGCTCTAGCAATGGAAACGCCTCGAGGACGCATGCGCAGCAGCATTTTCGGCAAGCTTTCCCCGTTTTCCATGTCGACGAGAGCGCCGTCAGTCACCACGCTCGCGCAGGACTTGGGAATGAAACTGCCGTCCACTGCCGCCAACACTTCACAGGAACAGCCCACGCCTGTGCCTTCAGCCCGGCGCAGCAGCTTGCGAGGCTCTTTGTCGCCTCCGACGAAGAGCGCGCCGGAGCCAACGGCAGAGTCGGGGGCGAGAGTAGCGGGCAGCAAGGAAGACGCAGCAAACCTTGTCGATGGCCTCCCTCAGTGGCTGCAAGCCAAGTCAGAGGCAATGGAAAGGGCTTTGTTTGAGCTGGAGGAAATCCGAATACTCAGGATCAAGGAGGAGAGCCAGTGGCAGTCGAAAATGGCCCACGGGAACCAGCTGCTCATGCTGGCCGAAGAGAAGCTGAGTGCGTTGACTGCAGAAGTTGAAGATTCATTTAAAGGCCGCCGCCAACTGCTGGGTGAACGACTACAGACACTGGGCGAGATGAGCAGCGTCAGAAAACAGCTGGAGGCGGTCCAGAGGGAAGCTGCGGAGCTCAAGGGGGCCTTAGAAGGGTCTCAAAGAAAAGCAGAACAGGCACAGAAAGATGCTCGTGACACGGTGCTTCGGCTCACGGAGTCCATCAACTCTGCAGAGGACCAAATAGCAATGCTGCAGGAGCGGAACACGATTTTTAGTGAACTGGTCTTGTCACTGAGCAGCTACACAAAGAACATCCTCTCGAAGCTGCAACGGGAGAGATCGGGTAAATTCATTGAACGAGCCGCGGGATTCGACGCGGAGGTCACTAGTAGATCTTGCGCAGAAGTCCAGAGCATGAAAACGCCTAGAACGGCGGATATAGCCAAAGACGGAGGCCATTCAACGACCTCCGCGACGCATGGGAAGCAGCAGCAGCCACACAGGGCCACCTCTCTTGGAGAGAAGCTGCGGGTTGTTTTGAATACAAAAAACGACACTTGCTGCTCACCTCTGGGCTGCCTAAGTCTCTGGTAGGCCGGCGAACTTCGCCGCTGTACAACTCCGGACCTTCCCAGAGAATCCGTCGAGTACTGCTTAGCTGCCACTTCGATTTTCCGGGAAATGCCTGTATTGCTTACTCCTGTGACTCTTTATGTGCCTCAGGAACACCAGCACAGCAATGGCCGCCCAACCGGCGGTGTGGTACTCTTTCGAGTCGCCCAGTGGCAGCGGAGAAGTTTCTTGGCACGCCCAGAAGCCACATAGTTTGTTCAAGGCGGCGAAGAAGATACGTAACACTTGATCACTACATCGAGCACCTGACAACTTCATCTGCATAGAATTTTTCCGCTGTAGGGCGACAAGCCGGCACAGTTGCTACGAACGCTCCAACTGTTTGTATGGCAACAAATTCAAGTGTCGCACAGTTGTTACGCTGCCTTCGGCTGAAAGGGTTGTCAATCAGAATAGCCACAATTCCTGCGTAAACTAGCCTAGTCATTGATTTAATCGGCCTCGTCGTATCACCGCAAACGGGCTAAGTTTTAGCGTTTCGGCGGTCGGCACGGTAAAACCGGCGACAGCGATCTGTGATCGCCGACCCAGTGCCGCCACTCCTGAGGGCTCTACTGTTCTCTTGTGGGTGCGATACAATAAATTCGCTTTCCCGTCGCCTGAGCGGCCACCTGGGGAGCGACGGCCAGCACGCGCTGTGGCCATCCCTCAGGTGGAATCTCGGGTCGACAAGCCCTCAAAGCCCGTAAGCCAGAAGATGCGCTAGCTAGAAACAAAACGCGGCCAAGCTGGGGGCCACGGGCTTTATCTGCAGCAAGGTGCTTTCCGGGCACAGAACGGCATGCCCATGCGGAAGCACCAAGGCCCGAAAGCCCCCATAACATGGGTCCAAAACTTGCCGTCAAACGTCCTTTTGCCATCTTATGCCACGCAGATAGACAGACAACTCCTAAATCGCGACTTTTAAAGGATGAGAATGCGATTTCCTCCACGCTCCAACTCCGAGGCTAACTAGTTGGCAGCCTCGTCGGCCCCTGCAAACTCGGGCTCTGCTTGGGCGTCACTTGTCGCCTGCGCAGGCGCTTCAGTGGCTGCGTGGGCTTCGCCCTCAGCAGCGGGCGACTTCTTCTGCCAGCGGCCCCCCGGGCGGGCTGTGCAAACGCCCAGGGAAGGGAAGGCAGTCTCGTCGTCAACATTTGCATTGTAGGGTTTCGCGGGGGCTGCGGGGCGGCCGCCCCCCGCTTTCTTGCGGGCAGCAGCAGCCTCTTCCCCGCGGCCTGGCGCTTCATTTCGCCCGCCCCGGCCGCCGCCTCGGCCGCCCATTCTCGGGCGCCTGTCGGTTCCTTCGACTCCGTTTTGGGCGCGCGAGCCCGCGCTGTTCGCCACGATCTCCTGCACCATCGTCGTGGCCTGCTGCACTGCGTCTTGCGAGCCCAGCAAGTACACCGCCTGCGGGCGGCCGTCAATCACAATGTTGTCCAAGTTGCACTCGCTCTGCAGCCGCCGCACGTTGACACCCTGGCGGCCCAGAATGAGCGGCACTGCCTCGCGCGGCACGTCCAGAGTGGCCGCGATCTTGCCGCTGCGCGAGACCTCCTCCTCCACCCTCTTGATGGCATCTGCAACGGCGTCCAGGCCCCCCGCGCCGCCGCGGACAATGAGGCACTTCCTGGGCACGTCCACTCGGATGCGGAGGCCGTGGTCATCCTCCAGCGCGCGGTGGCTCTTGTCGACGAGGAACAGGAGGGCGGCTGCGAGCGAAAGCTCGAGTTCCTCTTCTTTCTGTTCCTCCAGAGTTTGATGCACCAGCTCTATGGCCTTCTGCACGGCGTCGGGGTGCCCGCTGAAGGTCAGGGTCACCTTCTCCCCCTCGTGCAGCGGCGGCCTGCACGAGGCGCCGCTCAGGCTCTCAATTTCTTGCCTCTTCGTGCGGTCAAGAATGCGCAGCTGCGTCGCCTTGATCTCCACGGCCTCCGTCGTGCGGGCCAGCTGGTCGATGGCAGTGCCCAGCGCCTCCGCCGCAGCCGCCAGCGCCTCCGACGGCCCCACCAGCAGAACTCCGTCGTCGCAGCGCAGCAGCGAGATCAGCTCGTGTCCGCTGCAGCGCAGCAGCACAAAAGCCCCACCCACTCATCTGCATGCGCTGAAAAACGCTTCAAAAGCCTTTGCGTTAAGAGCCGCTCGGAGGCGCCGCCTCCACCCGCTGCGCCGCGCAACACCCGAAACCCTAAACCCTAAACCCTAACCCCCGCCCCAGCAGCACGCGCCGCAGCAGCTTACGGAATGCTGGAGAAGTCGACGGCCGCCCCCCGGAGAATCCTGTTGGCCTTGAGTCTGTCGCACTCCACAGGCTTCGCACTGAATCCTTTGAAGGCATTCTCGAGCTCTGCGCACGCCTTCTTGCAGGCCTCCAAGTCGGCGCTGCGGACGGCCACCTCGGCCACTTTGCTGGGGTCGCCGCGGCGCGGAGGCCGCACCAAAATGGTGACTCCGAAGCTGCTTTCGAGTTGCTGCAGCTTTTCTCTAGTTTTGGCGCTGCCCTGGGCCATGGCCCGGACCACTTCGGCTTCGAATTCGCACTTGAGCACCGACAGCGACGCGTCGCTCGCCGAAGGCGGCGAGCGCGACTCCTGCAGCAGCAGCAGCACCACTGCAGCAGCCCCGCAGCCCCATAAGAAGCCCTTTCCCCGAAGAAACCCTTTCGAGCAACTCGAAACTCAACAGGATCAGCAGCAAACCGCAGCTCCCGCTGCTGCAGCCGCGGCTGCTGCTGCTGGGCGCCGCGCTCACCTTGATGTGGGGAATGGCCTTCTTGACCGCAGCCTCGTGGCCAAGGACAGTGATCCACTTGTCCTCGAGCCAGAGCAGGACGTCGAGCTCCGCCTCGAGCCTGCGGAGGTTGGATCCGCCAGTGCCGATGAAGGCGCCGATGCTCTGGCCCTCGAGGGAGAGGCAGTTGGGGGCCGTGGCGAGTCCGAGGGGCACTTGGGGGAAGTTGCATGCGCTGAGGAAGGCTGCGCACTTCTCGCAGGCGTCGGGGGAGTAGCTGAGGAGGCTGAGGGCCACCCCGCGGTCGCCCGCGCTCTTCTTCTCAGCCAGCACCCCGAACTTGCGCTCCACCTTGCGCAGCAGCAGCGAAGGCTGCCCCTGCGGAGTCAGCAAGATGTAGCTCGCCTCGGGGGGCAAGGAAACCCCCACGGAAGCCAGGGGGGCCCCGCTTTGCTCGGGGATCGCAGCGCCGACTTCGCGGAGGCGCCGCCGCAGCAGCCCCTCGCGCTGCTGCGCGCGGCGGGTGTCGGAGGCGCTGGCGGCTTGCTGCGCTGCTCTTTGGGTCTGCTTCGCAATTTGGTCCAGCGAAGCTTTTAGTTCTGCAATTTGCTGCTGGAATTCGCGCAAGTCGCTCTGCTGCTGCGTCAGCACCAGCTGCTCCTTCAGGTGGAACAGGTAACGCATGGCTTCCTCCATTTGCAAAGCCGTGGCTGCGCCGCCCTCCGCGGCCCCCGCCTCGCCCTTGGCCTTCGACTGCATTGCTGCAGCTTTTTGCTGCTCCTTTTGCTGCTTCTGGATCGTCAGCTCCGCCTCCCGGATCTTCTCCTGCACCTGCTGCACCGTGGCGCGCTTGTTGATGGGCTTCTTGGCCCGCCCCACCTCCTCGTCGAGCGTTTCTTGCATTTCCTTCTGCAGCAGCTCCACAGCTTCGTATACTTGCTTCACGCCCGCCCCCGTGTCCACCTTCGCGCTGCTGGCCTCCAGCTCCGCCACCCGCTTCGCCCACTGCTGGGCCATTCCGTTCAGCCGGCTGGCCAGAGTGGCCGCCCCCGCGCCCACCCGCAGCGCGTTGCTGAGCTCCGCGGCCTGCTGCTTCTGCTCCTGCTTGCGCAGCTTCTTCTTTAAGTTCTTCTTCTGGCTCGCCGACAGGCCCGTCATGTCGATCTCGCGGCGTGCCACCGCGGCGGAGCCCGGGGAGCTCTCCGCGTTCCCCGAGGCGGCTTCCGCCTCTCTTGAAACTTCCTTTGAAGCGCCGCAGCCAGCTTTCGGGGAGGAAGCTCGCGCAGCGGCGCTGCGGTCGCCCTCGGTGGCTGCAGACGAGGGCGCTGCGCCGCCCGGCCGAGACGCTGCCTCCCCTCCCTTCCTGTTCTGCCGCCCCTGCCCTCCTCCTGCGCCCGCTTTACTGTTGTTGCTTTGGCCAGCGTCACTGGTTTTGGGGGCGCCGTGCCCCGCCGCTCCGCCCGTGCTGGCAGCCGGCGCGGCGCCGGCAGCCGCCTCTTCGTCAGTCCTCTTCTTGCGAGCCATTCTGGTGTCTTGCGCCGGCCAACGCTTTCGAACGGTTGTGGGATATGCTCCGAATGCAAGGAGAAAAACAATTCAGATATATTCGAAAAACCGACGGAGTCGGCAGCCGCCCTATCTACGCGGTTACGCCGTGAGATGCCAGAACAGTGCGCGCAGCAATTGCTGCAGCAGCCGTCTGTCCCCTATCACCTTCCGCCCCACACAGCAGCTTTATCCCGTCTCATCCACCAAGTGCCACACACAACCAATATTTAATTGCCTCTATTTCCCCAACGAGATTATAAGAATCCGCCGCTCCTTCGCGCCACGCAACCCCCTGTGGGTGTCCTGCGCGCGTCTGCAGCGGGCGTCGCTGATTACCCGTGGGATGCTGCGCAGCGGCGCCACCTCGAATTGTTGATTTCAGTCCAAGTGGTGCTTTTGTAAGGTAAACTGAAACGTAAACTCGCCTTTTGAACCTAACTTTGCGTAGGATTCCCTGTGGTTTTGCTCCCCTGCGCCCCAAACGCCGGCAATTCCGTCTTTCCTCCTCGGAAGTGCTGCTTCTCTAATAAGATTCTGAAATTCAGCATAGCCATCTTCCCCAGCCCTGCAGAGGCCCTCACACCCCGCCGCCCCTTATTTCCCAGGCTCGCCCCAGAACGGCAGCCGTGTCCTCAGGGCCGCAGCGCTGCAGACTTTGAATCTGCAGTTTGCGCCACTGGGCTTATGCGGTTTCCTGCGAATGCAGCACAGTTTTGGCGGTTTAGTCGAGTCATGTGTTCGGTCTTAGCTCCAATTCAGACACTGCTTTCTCACTGTGGGTCCGAGGTGTGCTGCTCGGGCTGCTCGCTGCCTCGGCGCTTCTTTGCCGTCTGTTCGTGCCGAAACTTTGCTTTCCTGTTGCTACAATAAAGAGCCTGCACTCTGCAGGGCAGCAGCAGGCTTGGCTTGCTGCATATGTTGTTGGTGGATGAGCTTGCTGTTTGATAAGCTGGAGAGGATGGCGGAGGTAGC